TAGATTTGTGGGAAAATTTTGGAATAAATAACTCAACATATGACAAGGGACTTGTAAAGGAGGGCATCCAAGCATGATTAACATGCAAGCAAAAATCAAGCGAAATGCAATCAAAAGCAAATGATCATTTGTGAGTAATGCAAACACTAATTGACAATCATGAATTCTCAATCAAGATCAAATGGTAATTCATATAGAGGGGCATGACATAAGTCACTAAGCAGTGGATCGGACCTTCAAATGATAACAAGTGTCAACCATGCAAGCAATGTACAAAGACTTGTGGATTTCAACATAACTTGCTTAAAAATCATAGCACAAAAGACTTTCTCAATGTTATAACTCATTCAAACGATTATGTAACTTGAAGTAAAAATGCTACAAGCATAACTCACCACAAGCATGTGTAAGGAATCAGGAGGACTTTTAAGTGGTAAATGATCAAGATGAGTTTGCAAATGAAGGCCAATGATTTGTAATGAACTTAGGCATCCTCAAGTACATGAATGAAGCATGCTATAAATGTGATGATCTCTTCACTGAATCGATTTGCAAATGCTACAGATAAGAAATTCTAGATGTGGGTACTTGTTCATAAAGATATGTCAATTGAAAGTTAAAAAGTGGTCCTTATTACATTCGACGTAAGTTGATGCATAGTTATCATAATCAATGATATGGAATGTTGTATGAGACATGATTGGACGGCACTCAACTGCAAGAAAAATATATGAGATCCCTGAATGAACATTTCACAGAATGAATGTGGCAGTTGAACACAACATTCATAATACTATGCTTTTGAAAGAATAAGTCAGTTGCGACAAGTACATTAATACACTCATTAAGAGAGTATGAAAGATATACAACAAAAGTGTAACAAAGAGATACAAGCATAGAGCTCCTACGAGTTAATATAGAAAATTCTCTGGTATTCAACGTGCTATCCAAAAACAAACCTAAAGGAGTTCTAATGACACAAATTACTCACTGATGATGATTTGGAAAGTGCAGTAATATGCATATTAAGTAAAGACATGAAGATACAAAAATCCTTACACTCAGTGATAACAGACGTGTTGCACAAGTAATAAATTATCTGCGGCATAAGATATGCATATGAGATATCATCTAAAGCAAGGGTGGTAAATCAACAAGTCCCTATAAGCTACTCTACTACAGTATTCAAGGTGTATCCCACAAACAAAATACATAGGACTACAGGACCAAGCACAAGTTTCTACATGCTACTATGAAAGATTGTCTACAAAATGATTTCAAAATACCCCTACACGTGCCACTGTAATTTGTATACACTAGGTACACTAAAAGGGAAAAATATAATCTTAAACCCGCAAGGGCCCCGGCGAGCGTGTTATTTGGTACACGTGACGTCTAGGATGCTGCGCGGGCTTGACAGTGAATTCTTGTTCGAAACCTGATCCTCATTATACGGATCAATAGAGTAGACAGGCTCGAACTCTCAAACAATACACGGTGAGAGGAACATTATATTGTTTAAATATATCATATCAGGCCTTCCAAAGCTTTAATCAAGAGAATCACTTACAAAGGCTCAAACTACAAACCCGATCCTCTGTCGACAGCCCGCAAAGTTGACAAGGTTCAATCCATAAAAGAAATGACCCCCAAACCACCCCGATGATGGCATATTGACTTTGGTTTATCTCAACCGGAGGGGTTCACAAATTACTTTCAATTCATTCAAGTTCCCAAAACTCCACAAAATCCAAAAAAATCTAAAAAATCCAAAAATCCTAAAAAATTTAAAATGAAAATAAATCCATCAAAAACTTAAAGCAAAATCCATCCACCCTCCGCAACAGTTTGCCAGGTGACAAATTGAAATTTATTCTAGGCTCATAAAGAGCCAAATGCCTAGTCAAAAATATCACTAGAATCCATTCTCAAACAATCTCTTGCCGTAAGGACGTGGTACGTGCCTCTAACGACAGTTTCGCGCCAAATGCACTGCAGGTAAATGGTATGACCCGAGGCCCTTTTGAACCGAGTGGTTTGCCGCCAATGGCACCACAGATAGCGGTTATGGCCAGACCAATACGCTCCTTATTGGCATCAATCCTTGAGATATGAATCAATAGGATATGATTGATAAGGCACAAGGCCCTCGTGCAGCTAAAGTGGATTCAAATTTGTCCCCTCTAGACAAACATTCAACCTCGGTCTACAAGGATCCCTTGGCGAAAGCTTCGGCACAGTGAGGTTTGGTCGGAGGGAGCTGAGTGGATCGTGAATGGAAGAGGTAGAGAGGCAGTGGAGCTCGGCTCTTGGTCGGCTATGGGGGTCGGTCGGTAGAGGAGTTCGGGAACTTTGCGACTGGGGGAGAGTTCGAGCGGGGGAAGAGTCTCTATGGGTCGAGTATTTAACGACGGTCATGGGAGCGAGATCGAGGCCTGCGCACGATCTTTGCATATCCTGCTCTGAGATGGCGCCGTTTGCAGGAGATGGGCACTGTAGCTGCGGCGGTGTGGGCACGACAGAGATACGGGATGGATACAGGATTTGAGCAGGAATTTTATATTTTTTTTTCTTTTTGTTGGCTTTTACGCGGTGGTCAACACAGTCATCCAGGCTAAATACATAAAACATAAATAAATGAAGGTACTAAGTCTAAGGAACTTCTTGATATTATGCATCTGATCTCAAAAGTGGTGGATAAAATGACATCTATGGAGAAATTTCTACTAGCAATGGACCCAAATCTAAATTCGACATTTGAAATTATTTCATACTTTTAAACCACCAGCTTTCAAAGGTGCAAGTGATCCAACAGTAGTTGAAGATTGGTTGTTGAAGATAGGGAACATCCTAGATGGTATGATTTCTCCCCTGAGAATAGGAGGGTAGTGTTGGCCACATTTGTTGGAAGAAGAGGCTGAAAGATGGTGGAAAGCACAATATAGAGATAAATTTGGACTGATACCTATCACTAGCATACAGTGGGATGATTTTGTGAAGGTAGTCAGAGACTGATTTATTACTCCTTCAAACAGACTAGTTCTTCAAGACAAATTTTTCAATCTGACTCAGGGTTCAAAGATAGTTATGCAGTGTGAAGTAGAATTCATTTCTCTATCCCTCTATGCATCTCATTATGTCAGCACTCAATAGGAAAAATACCACATATTTTTGAGAGGCCTAAGGGATCAATTAAGATTAGCATTGGCACCATTTGATATCAATGAATTATTAGTCCTAGTGGTGATAGCCAGAAGGATTGAAAGTGAGCTAAACTTATCTATGCATAGTTGGGAGTAACAACAAATAGGTACAAGGAAGATGTTTGAAACGAACCAATTTAGAAATAAAAAGTCAAAATTTGATAATACGCAGAAGGAGATTCAGCTTGAGAAACCTCTCTATGACCAATGTGGGAAGAGGCATTCTGGCCAGTATTTAGTGGGTTCTAGATGATGTTTTAAATTTGTTGAATCAGGTAATTGCAAGGTAGAATGCCTTTTGGAGAAAAGAAAAAATGTCAGGCCATAGGGATATCAGGAGCATGGACAACAAAGAAGATATTAGGATGATAATCAGGCAGGGAAAACTCAATTTTAGGGAATGCTAATAATCCAAGGAATGCCACCAGCATAGTTGAGAGGAGAAGCAACATATATTAAAAGTAATTCAATAGTGAAAGCTAGAGTCTTTGCCATCACACCACAGGAAGCCGAAGATTTAGAAGAGGTCGTTGCATGCATACTCTTAATTTCAAATAAATTCGTTAGAGTTCGTTTTGATTCTGGTGCATCCTATTAATTTATTTTGAAAAATTGTGTTAATATTAATTTGCTGAGAATGTATGTTTTACACCTGCCTTGTGTGTTATGGTGCCAACGGGGGATAGTTTGTATTTCAATAGTTTGTGTTTTATGAATCTGGATATTTAAGGTCGCAAATTTTTAACAGAACTGATTTTAATGCCTATTAAAACTTTTGATATCATTTTGAGAATGGATTGATTATTTAAATATTTTGCTACAATTAAATGTTCGAAGAAAATGATAAAGTTAAATTTTCCAAATTAGAAGACTTCTTATTTTCCTTATGAGAAGAATGCAATATCCTTTCTTATTAGTATAGTAAAGATGAGTAAATATCTAAAGGGTGAGTTGGTGTTCATAGTCAAAATAGAGGTGTTCAATAAAGATGTTTAGACATTACAAAATGTTATAATTGTTTCAAAATTTTGATTTGTATTTCCTAAAGAATTACCTGGATTACCACCTGAAAGGGAAGTTGAATTTGGGATAGACTTACAACCATGAACATCAACAATATACAAATCTCATTATAGAATGGCTCCAAAGTAATTGTAAGAGTTGAATGCTTAGTTATAGGAATTGATGGATAAGGGAGGGCTAGTAATTCACCCTGGAGTGAACCTATATTTTTTTTGTTAATAAGAAAGATGGATCCATACGAATGTGAATTGACTACAAAGAGTTGAATAAAGTGACTATCAAGAACAAATATCAACTACTTTGCATATATGACTTGTTTAATCAGTTAGCAATTTCCAGAGTATTTTCTAGAATTGATTTGAGATCAGAGTATCATCAAGTGATGGTTAAAGAAGCAGAGATAAGTAAGACATCTTTTGGGATAGATATGGTCATTTTGAGTTTGTCGTCATGCTTTTTGGGTTGAGAAAGGCTCATGCTATTTTCATGGACATGATGAATTGGGTTTTCAAGGGTTATATAGATCAGTTTATGATTATTTTCATTGATGACATTTTGATATATTCAAGTCTCGCGCCACATTAGAGCCACTCGTTGCCTGAGCAAATAACTTTCATTACTTTAAAATAATTTTTTTTATAATTTCTTTTTTACGTTAGCAACTTGTAACCATGTTTATTTTAAAAATTTGTCATTTTTTTTTTCATGGGCTAGGAAGCTTTTATCTCATTAAAATGGAGTTTGTTCTAGTTACATCTTGTATGTTTTCTTCTAATTTGTTAATATTTTTCTATAGGGTTGTCAGATGAGATGCTTGATCTCCTTCTCTTTGCTTTGGAAGATCTAAAGAAGCTGCTAAAGGATCAGGGATCAGACCTCTTTATTGGCTTTGGAAGTTCTGAAGATGTTATAATGAAAATTGTCAATGAGGTTGGTGGATTTTCCTTAGCTCTTTCATTCCGTCAATTTTGAATTTGTATTCACGATTTCAATCATTCAAACATTGGTTTAAGTTCTACTTATTTGGAGTAGGTTAAAGCTGCCCAAGTTTTCACAGAGGAGGATGTAGACTACAATACTCGTAGGGTGATCAGTATTGTTGAATCTCGCTTATCAACTACATTGTTTCCATGGGGAAGTTCAAAGATCAGGCTATGGAGGGCTCCGTTTTATGATTTCAAGGTAGAATATGTCCCCCATTTATATACATTAACATCTTTTGCAGTTGTTTAAGAAGCATCTACATCACATGAATTCAATTTTTTAGGACATGAAGGGGATGCCTGCATCATACAATACCTTTCTAAAGTTGAAATTGCCAGTGTCGAATCCAACTGCTGCCCCTACCTTACCCATATTAAACATCGGATTGGAAAGAGGTAAATTTTGGACCTCGATTGTCATATTTCTCTGCATTGCATATTCGTACACGGAAAGAAGAGATAGGTACTAGTTAACTTGTTTTGTTTATTATCTGTAGTTTTATCATGTGGTGCTACCCAAGTTGATATATGATGGCCATTAAAGTATCATGTCTCATTTATCTAGGTGATCTACCAACAATTGATGATGTAAAAAGTTATCTGAATAATGAAAGTTGGACTTTCATGAAGAAAATATCAGCTCAAGATATTTTACAAAAGAAGCACCACAAAGAAGTTGTAAAGAAAGAAGATCTCATTGGAGGCCCTAATAATGTTTTGGAAATCAGTTCAAACGTGACCGTGGTGCATAAAATGAAAAAATCCAATTCGTTATTTGCATCTCATAATGGTTCTCAAGTGAAAGGTGGAACAGATGCTGTTTTGAACGCTTTAGCTGGTTATCTGAGATATCTGGAGGGAACAGGAAGGGATGATTGGCAAGAGTATGTAGCTCCCTGTTTGATTGCCTTAATTTGTTATTTTTTAATTTTGCAAGGCACTTCTTGGGTTGACATTTTTGAATCTCTCTCCCAATTCATTTTTTTCCCTTAGCAAGAATTGCTGATTTGTGGTTACTCATAATCACTAAATGATTCATATGTATGTAGAGTAGAAGATGTGTGACTTTTTTGTACGAATACTTTTTAGCCATATTCAATTATATGTCTATATTTTATCAGTTTTAAGTAAAATTGTAAATTCAAACGTTAAATTGTTTCTCTAACATTTACCCCTTTTTTTTCCATTCCATTGCTTGTTTGGTAATAATACTCAAGTTAGATTCTTGACTGAATCTCATACATACTCTTAAAGAATTAGTGATCTTTTTCTTCCTTCAAATTTACTATTATCCAATGACATTATTGAACACTATATTATTGAAGAAAAGGAAAGTATAAGTACTAGCTTCATTTTTCAACAGGGTTCATGATAAAATGGGTATGGCTGAAAGCAGGAATGGAGCTTCATTTGGTGCCATTTTTGGAGCTTCCCTTTATTTTGGAACCATATCTAGGAGGAGAATTCATTATGTAGCTATTAAATATGAGAAGGAACGTAATGCAGGATTCTTGTCTCCTTTTGGATACTCATCACCTACTGTTGCAACGGCAATTGAGACTGTTTGTTCCATGGAGGTATGATGAATTCCCAAACATATACAGTCTAGGATAATATGTGATAGTTGATGGAGGATGGTATAGGATTACCGTTTCTTAATAAAATTAGTATGATGTGAGGCATGTAAATCATACTAGAAAACTTAAGAATTTAGATATCACAAGTCACTAGACAAGCCAACAAATTACCTTATTTAAATGTAGACGCTAAATATGAGAATTTGAAGCCAGACAATAATGTAATATTGATTAAATTCGAAGAAATTATTAAGAAATTCAAATCATGCAAAATCAACGATAACTTTAATTTAGTGACCAAAATAAGTTCCTTGGCTGTGTCAAATTTAAACAAAATTGAGAGCACTAACAAGCAATAATAAAATATGCAAAAGAAATTAGGTCAATGAAAGAATTTATCAAAGAATTCGAAGCCTCAAGTTAGCACAATCAAACGACTTTCTTTAGATTTAAGTTGTCACAGTTGTATCTTACTAGAAAGAAGCGCAAATCTAACTTGCACATAAATGGAAAATTGGACGTTCAAAATTTTCTTCACTAAACATTAAATGCATGCCTCAAAATATTTATTTATAGACTCCTCATCCATATCTTATTAAATATGAATGAAAATTGCACGCATGATTATAAACTCTTTTATACATTAAAAATTTCCTTAATTAGGGAAAAACCCTAAATTCCTAAACTCAAAATTTTCGTCATTCATTCAATATTTTTCAATTAGAAATTTTCTTAGGTTAATAGAAACCTCATTTGTGAAGACATTTCCAAAGAAACAATTTTTGAGCAAAACCCTAATTTCCAAGATTTCATATTTTTCAAGAAAACACTTTACATTAGGGTTTAAAAATTTCCCCTAACCCTTCCCTAAACTTTTCTCAAAGGAACCTTAAAGAAAACTCAAGTTTTCCTAAAACCCTAAAAGTCTTCTCATCCAAAAATCTTTAGAAAGAGAGGAAAAATCAGTTCTAATACATACCTTTTCCTTCCCTTGACTTCCTCTTCAATTTCTCCAAAATTCCTCGCCGGAAAAGGTCGCCGGAGCCGTCGCCCGAAGAGCCCGAGCCGTCTGCCCCTAGGAGTTCTGCTCGGTTCGTGCGAATGGGGAAGGAGGGCTCAGTTTGCCTATTAAGGGAGAAATGAGGATTGCCAAAAGTCTATTTTACACTCACTTAAACTTTCTTCTAATCAAAAAGCATTAAGGGCAAAATTGTCATTTAGAACTTTTTGGAAATTTTAGCTCTCAAAATTTGATATGGGTTCTATACATCAAAACGATCAGAATTTTACACTCTATTTTATAAAATTATTCCAGTCGAAATCAAACAACTTCAAAATTTTCACTTAAAATTCGTCGCGGCGCTTTGAAAAGCGTGCGAGGTTTAAAACAGCATTTTCGGGTTTTACAATTCTCCCTCCCTTATAAAAATTTCGTCCTCAAAATTTAAGACAAGCTTAAGAAATCATACCTTAGTCAAATAGGTGAGAGTATCTCTCTCTCATCTCTGATTCCTTCTTCCAAGTAGCATCTTTCTCAGTTCCATGCTTCCACATAACTTTGACATAAGGAATCTCTCTAGTTCAAAGCTGCTTAACATCATAATCTATGATCTTCTCAGATTCTTCTACAAATGTCATATCTGGTTGGATATCTATTGCTTCAGTACTGATCTTCTAAGCTTCATCTGCAATGTATTTCCTCAAGGAAGAGATGTGGAATACTTTATGTACTCCACTCATGTGAGATGAAAAAATCAATCTGTAAGCCACACTGCCAACTCTCTCTGATATCTCAAAAGGGCCAACATACCTTGATCTCAGTTTTCCAATTTTGCCAAATCTCTTCACACCTTTCATAGGACTAACCTTGAGGAATACAAACTCTCCAACATCAAACTCAACAAATCTATGGTTGGCATCATAGTACTTCTTCTGTCTATCTTGCACAACCTTCAATCTATCAGGAATCAGTCTTATCTTTTCAATAGCATCATATACTAAATGAGCTCCAATGATCTTTCTTTCTCCTGTCTCAAGCCCAACATAAAGGAGTTCGACACCTCCTTCCATACAAAGCTTCATAAGGTGTCATACCTATACTTGCTTGGAAACTATTGTTATAAGCAAATTCAATAAGTGTAATGTGTGTCTCCCATTTGCCACCAAAATCAAGTACACATAATTTGAGTAAATCCTCTAAGGTCTGAATAGTCCTCTCTGATTGACCATCTGTTTGAGGGTGAAAGTCTGTACTGAAAGTAAGTCTAGTGTCCATTGCCTCTTGAACCTTCCTCCACAATCTAGAGGTAAATCTCCCATCTCTTTCTGATGCTATCGATCTTGGTACACCATGAAGTCTAACAATCTCATTAACATAAACACTTGCCAACTTCTAACAACATCAGATTGCTTGATAGGTAAAAATTGTGCCGATTTGATCAACCTATCAATTATCACCCATATAACATTATGACCAGTTCTAGATCTAGGCAATCTAACCACAAAATCCATGGCTATATCTTCCCACTTCCATTCCGGTATAGGTAAAGGATGCAATAAACCTCCTGGCTTTTGATGTTCTACCTTAACCATCTGGAAACTGTACACTTAGCCACTATTTCTTCTACACTTCTTTTCATCCTGGGCCACCAAAAGTATTCCTTCAAATCTTGGTACATCTTGTTACTACCTGGGTGAATGGTATAACTTGAATAGTGAGCTTCTTGAAGAATGTCCTTCCTCAAATCTCCAACATCTGGGATGCAAATTCTGCCTCTATACCGTAGTAGCTCATCCTCATCAAGCTCAAACTCCTCCACGTGACCAACCTTCACCAAATTTAGGACTTTCTCAAATTCTGCATCTTGTGGCAAAGCTTCCCTTATCTTATCCTTCAATGTTGATTGAATGATCATCTGATTCAAAGCCACAAACTCTGCATTATTGGGCTGGACTATAGAAATCTCTAACTTCTCCAAATCTCTGATCAACTCATATTGCTGTGGAATCATCCAACTAGCACTAGAAGTCTTCCTGCTTAAGGCATCTGCTACTACATTTGCTTTGCCTGGATGATATTGAATATCCAAATCATAGTTCTTGATAAGCTCCAACCATCTCCTCTGTCTCAAATTTAACTCTTTCTGTATGAAGATGTATTTTAAACTTTGGTGATCAGTAAATACTTCACACTTAACCCCATACAAGTAATGTCTCCATATCTTCAGAGCAAAAACCACTGCAGCTAACTCCAAGTCATGGGTTGGATAATTTCTTTCATGACTTTTCAGTTGCCTTGAAGCATAGGCAATGACCCTTCCGTTCTGCATCAATACACAACCCAACCCTTTGTGAGAGGCATCACTATAAAGTTGAAATCCATCCGTCGCTGAAGGAATAGTAAGCACTGGAGCAGTCATCAAACACTGTTTCAGTTTTTGAAAAGCCTTTTCACATTGATCTGTCCATACAAACTTCACTTCCTTTTGGGTCAATCTAGATAAGGGCATAGCTATTCGAGAAAATCCCTCAACAAAGCTTCTGTAGTAACCAGCTAAACCCAAAAAGCTCCTGATCTCCATCACAGTAGTGGGTTGTGGCCAATCTGCTATATCTTGTACCTTGTGCTGATACACAGAGATCTCTTCATTACTGATTACATGCCCCAAAAAGTTCACACTCTTCAGCCAAAATTCACACTTGGAGAACTTAGCATACAAATCATTATCTTTTAAGGTATACAATATTGACCTTAAATGATTTACATGCATCCTTTCATCTGGGGAGTAAACAAGTATGTCATCTATGAATACAATTACGAATAGATCTAAAGAAGGCTTAAAGATTCTATTCATGAGATTCATAAACACTGCAGGGGCATTTGTTAAGTCAAAAGGCATCACTGTAAACTCAAAATGCCTATATCTAGTGTTGAATGCTGTCTTTGCTATGTCCTCTTCTCTAATCTTGAGTTGATAGTATTTTGATCTCAAGTCTATCTTGGAAAACACAGAGGCACCCTCCAACTGATCAAACAAATCATCAATTCTCGGAAGGGGGTATTTATTCTTTATAGTCAGCTTGTTCAATTCTCTGTAGTCTATACAAAGCCTTAAACTTCCATCATTCTTCTTCACAAAAAGCACAGGAGTCCCAAGGGGAAGTGCTAGGCCTGATGAATCCCTTACTAAGCAATTCTTGTAATTGGTCTTTCAACTCCTTCAATTCTTTTATTGTCATTCTGTAAGGAGCTTTAATAACAGGCTCAGCTCCACTAACCAGTTCGATAGAGAAATCAATCTTCCTGCTTGGAGGCAAGCCAGGTAAATCTTCTGCAAACACTTCTGGATACTCTTGCACGACAGGTATATCCTCTAATCTTCTCTCTTCTTTCTTCTCCTCCTTAACATAAGCTAGAAAGCCTTCATGACCCTTCCTCAATAATTTGTATGCCACCAAGGAAGAGATTATCATAGAAGTTATGCTTCTCCCCTGGCATACAAAATTTAAGTTCTTTCTTATTACAGTCTATGGTCACAAAGTGGCAAGACAACCAATCCATACCTAGGATCACATCAAATTCCGTTAAGGGCAATAACATAAGATCTGCACCCAAATTTCTATCACCTACAATCAACTCCACATGACACCCCTTTTTGGTTTCTAACTGACTCCCATTGGGCATCAAGACTGATAAAGGTTTGAGCATAATTGAAGAAGACAAACCAACAGACTTAACAAACTCCTCCGAAATGAAAGAATGTGATGCTCCCGTATCAAACAACATCTTAACAGGCTTGTTATATACAAAGATTGTTCCTAAATATCATGCATATAACATAACAATATAACATAAAACTCATCTTACACATAAATCATAAAGGAATTCATTGACATTAAATAAAGTCCATACCTATGATAACATCAGAAGAGTCTTTTGCTTCTTGTGGGGATAGACCATAAACCCTCGGATGAACAGGTTGCCGAGCTTGGCCTTGAGT